CGAGATGTAAATACCAACCCTCTCCAACTGCTCAGCATTCATGTACAATGGTAAATATACACCTCTCTTCCTCCTGAAGTCAATTATAAGTTCCTGAAGTCAATTATAAGTTCAATTAACATGACACTGGACAGCGTGACCCGCCAAATATATAACCTTTATACAAAACAATAGAGAATTCTCACGTAGCATTCCAGTAAATTATCTGAGGTTAACGCAGAAGTTTAAAAAGGGCATTACCGTTGCTTTATATTTTCACCAGGTATATTCCTACATATCACACTCACCTTATGCTTCCTTTGCTGTGTCTCACCCCCCCCCCCCCCCCCCCAACTCCCCTTTCGACCAGGTGTCGTTCCGCTACCACTGCCAGCTCTATTCCGAGTGGCGAAGGACCAACCAGAAAGTCCGGCTGATGATTCCTGACGCCAGGAACCCGTCTCCCGTCCCGCACTCCCTGCTCTCCACCAAGCTGCTGAAGAAGAAAGCCGACGAGACCACCGTGTGAGCCAAGCCGCGGAAGGGGAGGAAGAGGAGGAGGGCTTCTCACGAACGGTCCGCCAGGCCAGCCCTAAGGGAGCTTTTCCTGTCCGGCCTCCCCATCATCCTCTCCAAAAGACAACCAATTCCCGGGTGTGTGCAATGGGGCAGGGGACGCGGCAGTGCCCAGGGCACCCGCTGGCCCCTCTCCGCCCTCAAGGCCCAGTGGGGAGAGAGGGGAACACCTCTCCCTCCGTCCGTGTAACTATCTTATATTATTGGACCTTAATTATTGTTGTAATTATAATTTTTCTCAGTTTCAGCTGTTGTGTTCAGGGCCCTTCCTCCTTTTTTCTGGACATCACTGTGAAAGCAGGCGGGGTTTCCTTCCCCGGAGGGGCAGGGGTCCTGCCCTTCCTTCCATCCCAAGGGTCCAGCCCTTGTTCAGACACACGGGCGTGCAAAAAGCAACGTGCAAATCCGCTCGTCTTACTCCGGGAAGGAATGGAGTCTCTTTGGAACAAGAGTGAGGTGTCACCTCTACTGGCACCATGGCTCCTCTCTCTCCCTCCCTCTCTCTCTCTCTCTCCTTTCATATTTTTGCACTATAATGGGTGGGGATGGCGGCAGTGTTGTCTTTTTCTCCTCCTTAGTTCCTCAGTGATGTTGCTCTCCTTATCTAGGGCAGGGGTCTCCAAGCGTGGCCACATTAAGACTTGTGGGCTTCAACTCCCAGAACTCTGGGAGTTGAAGCCCACAAGTCTTAACGTGGCCAAGGTTGGACAGCCCTGACCTAGAGGACCCTGTGCTGTTGGGAATAACATCCCAGGAGGAGTTAAAAAAAGAAAAGAACCCCAACAGAAAACGGAACTGCCAGTGAACCGGAGGGTGTCCCCCTTTTTTAAAAAATAAATAAATAAATGCTGTAAACCTTACAGAAACAACAGCCACGGGGCTCTTGCAATCTCAATATTTGCGCAAACGTTACGACATGCTGATTTGTCAACCGTAGCTGCTGGGTTTGGCTTCTCGCTTGATCGGGATAGCCTGGTGCACTGAACCGTAGCGGGACCCTTCCACCGGCCGGGTTCGTTCCTGCCGGCGTTTTTTGTGGGCCAGCATTTCCATCCGACTTTTGGGGGCGTGGAAAAAAAAAGAGGCGGTTTTGGTTCGGAGGCCGTCGCCCCGCAAGACTGGGCGACACCACACAGAACATAGAATCCGAGGGCTGGAATGGGGCCTCGGGGAGGTCATCTAGTCTAGGGATCTCCAACCATGGTAATTTTAAGATTTGTGGACTTCAGCTCCCAGAATTCCCCAGTTTTGCTTTCCCGGCTGAGGGATTCTAGGAGTTGAAGTCCACAAGTCTTAAAGTTGCCAAGGTTGGAGATCCCTGATCTAGTCCAACCCCCCTTGCTCAAGCCAAGAGACCTTGTAGGATCCCAGTCAAATGGTTGTCCAGTCTTATTTTGGAAAACCTCCAGTGATGGAGTTACCCACCGCTCCAAGATAATCCATTGGTTAATTGTTCTCACTGTCAGAAAATTTGCCCTTACTTCTAGATTGGATCTCTCATAACACGTAGACCTATATACCGCTTCCCAGTGCTTTCCAGCCCTCTCTATGCAGTTACAGAGTTGACCTCTTGCACCCAATAATCCGGGTCCTCATTTTACCCACCTCGAAAGGATGGAAGGCTGAGTCCACTTTGAGCCGGTCAGAATTGAACTCCTGGCTGTGGGCAGAGTCAGCCTGCAATATTGCATTCTGACCACTGTGCATGGATGGATAGATGGATGGATGGATGGATGGATGGATGGATGGATGGAAGGAAGGAAGGAAGGAAGGAAGGAAGGACCATAGCAATAGCACTTAGTAATAGCAATATATACTACTTTACCGTGCTTTTACACCCCTCTCTAAGTGGTTTACAGAATCAGCCTCTTGCCCCCAACAATCCGGATGCTCATTTTACCCACCTCGGAAGGACAGAAGGCTGAGTCAACCTTGAGCCAGTCAGGATCGAATTCCTGGCTATAGGCAGAGTCAGCCTGCAATGTTGCATTCTAACCACTGCATCAAGGAAGGAAGGACGGGCGGACAATAGCACTTAGCAATATATACTACTTCACAGTGCTTCTACCTCTAAGCTGTTTATAGAGTCAGCGTTTTGCCCCCAACAATCTGGGTCCTCCTTTTACCCACCTCAGAAGGATGGAAGGCTGAGCAGATCAGGATTGAACTCCTGGCTACGGGCAGAGTCAGCTTGCAATGCTGAATTCTCACTACTGCGCCAGCACGGCTCTTACAAGAGAAAGGAAGAGAAAGAAAAAGAGAAAGGACAGAGAGAAAGAAAGGGAAATAGATGGAGCAGGAGAAAAAAGAAAAAAATGGAGAAAAGAAGGGAAGGAAGGAGAGAGTAGAAGGAAGGTAAGAAAAGAAAGGTAGAAAGAAAAGTTTGAAGGAAGGAGAGGGAAGGAAGAAGGGAGAGTATAGCACTAGCACTTAGACTTATATACCGCTTTACAGTGTTGCAAGCAAGCAAAGCCTCATTCACCATATTGCAGGCAGCACGCAAAACCATACCCCCTCCAGTCCACAGAAAAACCCCTCTCCATAGAACCGGTCCCTGGTGCCCAAAAGATTGGGGGCCGCTGTCCTAGGACATAGGTGAAGGGAGGGGAAAAAAATGGTTCCAGAGGCAGTAATCAAAGCAAGGGACACGTCATTTCCATGGAAAGACAAAAGTCACCGTTTGGAGAGAAGCGAAGAAAACTGTCCCTTGATCCAGATCCAGAAGGGAAGATGGCACTTTTGAATGCCGTTTTGGTCTCGTGGTTAAGGCACCAGGCCAGAAGTCGAGATGGGGAGGGAGTCCTGGTGAACTACGGAAGCCAGCTGGGTAAACTTGGGCCAGTCCCACTCTCTCTTGCTCCCAGCCCTTGCCAACCTCTGGGGACTGTTCCTGTGGAGAAAAGAGAAGGTGTGTTGAAGATGCTTGCCCCTTTGAGTATATAAATAATAGAATATAAATAATAAAGGTGGGGTATGAATGAATGAACAAACAAATGAATAGCAAGGTTTGACATTTAGGCAGGAAAAACCAAAGGGACAAGTATAGATTACACAAAACCTGGCTCAACAACAATTGTGAGAGGGACCTTGGAGTCCTATGGTATGGATGACCCTTCGAACATGTGCCAGCCGTGGGTGGCAGAATAGAACACAATCCTTGTTTGCATGGAATCAAAGGCATAGAATCAAAATCATGTGAAGTCTTAGTACCGCTTTATAAACTCCTTAGTAAAGCCACATCTGGAATAACTGCATCCAGTTTTGGTCACCACATTACAAAAAAGAAAGATGTTGAGATTTTGGGAAAAGTGCAAAGAAGAGCATCTAAGATGATTAAAGACAAAAACATATAAACATTTGTAAGAAATGGTATAGGGTCACCTGCTTGGGCGGGGGTGGCTGGGTGGGTTTTAGACTAGATGACCTACAAGGTCCCTTTCCAATTCTGTTAATCTGAAGAACGGTTGCAGGATTTGGGTATGGCTAGTTTAATGAAAAGAAGGACCAGGGGGGACATGATAGGAACCTTCCAGTATCTCAAGGGCTGCCCCAAAGAAGAGGGGGTCACCCTATTCTTCAAAGCCCCTGAAGGCAGGATGAGAAACAATGGATGGAAACTCATTCCAAAAGAAAGGCAACCTGGAATTAAGGAGACATTTCCTAACATTGAGAACAATTAATCAGTGGAACAGCTGGCCTCCAGAAGTTGTGGGTGCTTCATCACTGGAGGCTTTTAAGAAGAGCCTGGATAACCATCTGTCTGAAATGGGATAGGGTCTCCTGCCTGAGCAAAGGGTTGGACTAGAAGACCTCCAAGGTCCCTTATTGTTCTCACTGCTGGGAAGTTTCTAATTAATTCCAGATTGCTTTGTCTCCTTGTTCAGTTTCCATCCATTATTCCTTGTCTGGCCTTCGGGGGCTTTAAAAAATAGCTTGACCCCTTCCTTCTCTCTGTGGCAGCCCCTCAAATATTGGAAGGTTGCTCTCCTGTCTCCCCTGGTCCTTTCTCTCCAGGCCCAGTTCCTGCAAATGTTCATCGTATGTTTGAGCCTCCACTCCCCTCATCATCTGCACTCTTTCCAAAGTCTCAACATCTGTTTATATATTTATATTTTTATAGTGTGGGGACCAAAAGTGGCTGAGGAATTCTGGGAGTTGAAGTCCACCTCTCCTCCCCGCCTAGAGAGACGGTAGTCAGGGATGCCTGCTGTCACTCAAGCGACATCAGAGTCGCCAACTTCCGGTGGCGTGCTGTGGCCTACTATTCGGCAGCTAAGGCAACGCTGACGTCATGGGGTGGGAGAAAAGGGCGGTGCTTAGAGACGTGGCTCCCGGGCGTCGTTCCCCCCCCCCGCCTTTTCTTCATACCTCACCTTCCTTTCTAATTGGTCCGCCTATGAGGCGATTAAAAAAAAACAAAAAAACGGGAGGGCTGGGCGTCGCCGACGCAGGCGCAGTAGGTGCTCGCGAGCTCGCTTGAGAAGGAAATGGCGGCGGTCGTTTCGGGCTCAGTGTCGGCGGCGGGTTTGGAAGGCGGCCCCAAAATGGCGGAGAGCGGAGTCGTTCCCGGAGGCGGCTTGGGCTCGGGAGGGCCGGCGAACGGGGCGGGCAACGGCATCGCCGTCGGAGGCCCCAAGAGGTGCGTGTTTGGGCGGAGAGAGAATGCGGGGGGGGGGTGGGGGAGCAGACGACAGGCAGGCAGGCCTCGTCGTCGTCTCAGTGCGCATGCGCGGCAGCGCCTAAGGCGCCTTTTTCGGCCGCTCCGCTTCTCTTAGCGGGGGAGGATGGGAGATGTAGTCCCGGCGGGATGGGTCGGGAAGAGGAAGGGAAAGGCCGATTCATCCCGGCGAGGATGTGGGAGGCCGCTTTTACCCTCAAGACGGAGTCGTCCTCAGCTGGTCCTCGACTTACGACGGCTCGCTTAGTGACCGAAGTTAGACCGGCGATGCAAAGAAAAAAAAAATCCCGACAACCACCACCCGACTTTGTGGCCCCTATTTCACGCTTACAACGGTTTTACAGCATTTCCCCCCATGTAATAAAAAAAAAAACCCTACGCTTGGCAGCTGTCATGTACTTATGACGGTCGCCCTGTCTTGGGGGGGGGGTGTCACGTGATCCCCTCCTTCTTAATTTGCCACCTTCTGACAAGCCGAGTCAATGGAGGAAGCCCGGATTTGTTTCGTGACCGGCTGACTCGCTTAACAACGGTGGCAGGAGAAACTTTGTGGAATGGGGCAAAACTCGCTTAGCAACGCCAATTCTGCCCTCGATTGGCGTCGTAAGTCGAGGACTTCCTGGATTCCTTTACAGGAAGCGGAGTGGAAGCTGGGAAACAACAACAACAACAACAACAAAGGTTAAAAAAATTAAATAAGTTAAAAATTAATACATTGAAAAGAAAAACACCGAAAAGGCAAACTCGATGGGCCACAGGGTCTTTTTCTGTGTTTCTAAACCACTGAATCAATCTCTGGATTGATGGATGAGAAGCGAAATGTCTTCAAAGGAGAACCAGAAAGTCTCAGTTGCCTCTTGAAAAAAAAAAGCATCTTTGCGACAGGATCAATCATAAAATTCAATTGGCAGAATTATTGAAAAGTGTAAAAAGAAAGATGTAGCGTCCCTTAAAGTCTCTTCTCTGTTATAAGGGAAAAGGTGCACCTGAAGGGTGTGTTTATTTCAGTGCTGTTATTGGAAGAAGAAAAAAAGAAGTGAAACCAGGTTAAATAGCAATAGTAACTGTGAGAGGGATGTTGGAGTCTTAGTGCACAATCAGCTAAATAGAAACCAGCTGTGTGCAGCAGCAGCCAAAACTAATGCAATCCTAAATTGCATTAACAGATAAATTCAAGATCAAGGAAGGTACTAATACCACTCTATAAAGCCTTAGTAAGGCCACACCTAGAGTACTGCATCCAGTTTTGGTCACCACACTATAAAAAAAGATGTTGAGACTTTAGAAAAAGTGCAGAGAAGAGCAACCAGGATGATTAGGGGACTGGAGGCTCAAACATACGGGAACTGGGCTTGGCTAGTCTAGGGAAGAAAAGGACCAGGGGAGACATGATAGCAGTCTTCCAATATTTGAGGGGCTGCCACAGAGAGGAGGAAGGGGTCAAGCTATTTTCTGAAGCTCTTGTAGGCCAGACAAGGAACAATGGATGGAAACTGAACAAGGAGAGAGGAAACAACCTGGAAACAAGGAGAAACTTTCTGACAGTGAGAACAATCAACCCATAGAAGAGAAGTTGCCTTCAGAAGTTGTGGGAGCTTCATCCCTGGAAGCTTTCAAGAAGAGACTGGACTGCCCTCTGTCATAAATGGTGTAGGGTCTCCTTGGGTGGGGGGTTGGACTAGATGACCTACAAGGTCCCTTCAAACTCTGTTAATCTGTTAAAAAGAGCGTAAGTTTACGCATTGGTCCCTTTTTAAATCTAGTTCCTGGTGGATTTTAATGCTTTAATTCTTAATGTTGCAGGGTTTCAATGTTACCGTTTTGCAGTGTACTTTTATATTGTAAAGCTGTCCAGAGTCACTTGGCATATAAGGTTAATAAACTAGTAATAAATAGAAGTGGATATTTGGAACTTGGAGACGAACCGTGACATCCTTGGTGTTCTGTAAGCTTGGTGGTTTTCTTGCAGATGTTTCATTATTCGTAGATCTTGTACTCTCAAATTGCAAATGGAGACGTGGTTACTCTATTTTTCTTATCTTCATTTTTAAGTGCTTTGGTTTTATTGTATTGCGAACAGTTGCTGGGGTGCATCCACAGTTTCGTTGTACTTGTACAATGACAATAACGTTCTTCTAATTCTAATTACCTGACTAAGTAACATCATCAAGGCTATGATGCTAAGCTAGACAAGCACTGATGATGTTATCTAGTTTGGAAATGAAACAACTTGCAAGACAACTGAAGAAGCTTCTCAGATGAGAAGTTAAACATCTTCAAGGAAAAATCAAGAAAGTCCAGTTGCCTCTTGGGAGGGAAAAAAGCACCTTTGGGACAGCCTGGATGATGGAGAACCTCCACAGATAACTGCAAGAAAACCACCAATCTCGGAGAGCACCAAGGACCCTGCAATAAATAAATAAATTTCCATCAGATTGGTTTGTGCATGTGCATATTGGAACACGGTTGTTTCTTAAATTGGACATTCTGTTGCACCTGAGCTGTAAAATGGGCGACTGTAATCTTGCCATAAAGAATGAAAGAGTCTGCAAACTGGGAGCAGTTCGAGATTGCCCCTGCTGAGTTAATGTGACTGCACTGGATTGTGATTTGTCGGTTTACACACTGCGCAATTGCTGTGATTTTGAGTACAATGAACCAGGCTATCGTGTCTTGTTAGAATCTAGGTTTAGTGCAGGGGTGTCAATCTCTATTTCATTGAGGGCTGTATCAGGGTTGTGTTTGACCTGGGTGGGAGGGCATGATTGAGGATGTGGCTATGGTGAGTGTGGCCACACTGAGTACACTCGTGTCGGGGGCACCTGTGCTGGTCAACCCTGGGACCCTCCCTCACTCTCATTACCATCTTCCTTCCTTCCTTCCCCCTCTTTTCTGCTTTTTCCTTCCTTGCTCTCCCATCTTCCTTTTTTCTTTGACTTTCTTCTTTCTCTTTTCCTGTACCTTCTTGCATGCTCAAATACAAAAGGGGAAACGTTTCTCCTTTTGTTTTTAGTTTGTTTTGCTAGCCCTCAGCCAGCAAAAATGGAGCCCAGGGGGCTGTGTGCGCCCCCTGTTCTGCAGCCATCTGCCAGAAAAAATGGAGGGGTGGGGGCACCGCGGGCTGGTCCTTTGCTGTTTCCAGGCTGGCCCTATGGGCCAGATCTTTGGGCCAGATCCGGCCCGCAGGCCTTGAGTTTGACAACTCTGGTTTCGTGTCACATTGCTTGGCCAAGCATGTCATGTGGCTGTTCCTAGCTAGGCTTCCAGAGTTAACGTTGGACCTGGTTTTGAGTAGGGGTCTGACTCGGTCTTCTCCCTTTCCCTGTTTGCAGTGAAGGCGAATGGCCCAGCCAGACCGAGAAAAGGAAAGAAAGAAATGCCAAGAGGGGCGGAGGGAGTCGCTTTGAGCCGTACCCCAGCCCTTCTTCGAAAAGATACCGAGCCTTCATCACCAACATCCCCTTCGACGTCAAGTGGCAGTACCTGAAGGACCTGGTCAAAGAGAAAGGTACACGGCTTGGGCCCGACTGCCGGACCTCTGCCCTCTTTCCTCATGACCTCTTTTTTTTCCCCCTTTTATCCAGCAGACGCGGAATGGGTCGGAAGTGGTTTGGGTAGGAGCCGTGGCCAAGTATGTTGAGCCCCGAAGGTTTTCTGAGGGCAGGCAGGCGCTTCTGGCGTTGCATGCTGGCTAGCGGCTGTGCCCTGGCAGGATACATCTTTGGTGTGCAGGTGTTTGGCACAAAAGCGCCTTTGGGCTCTTGGGAGGAGAGCAGAGGCGGATCGTCAAGAGGCTTAGATTGAGGGGTTTTTGGTTCTCTCTTTTTTTTAAAATCAGAATCCCTCTGAAAGCCTTCCTGGATCGACGATCCAATTTCCATGGAGGGGGAGAGAGCAGCAGTCTTCCTCGTTGACGAAATCTTGCTTGTTGGTTGAATATCTAAGCTTGTTTTAAGAGTGAGCTCAAGAAAAGATGGCTTCAATGCAGCCCCAGGCCTGGTAAATTCGCAAAGGGAGCGAACGCCCTGCAGTTCCTTAGTTTTCTTCGGTCAAAGCTCCTGCTGAGCCTGCTTCAGAAATCCAAGGCAGGCAGGCATTTGGCCAGCCCGTCATGTTGTAAACTGGTAATTTACCTCGTGGTAACCTTGCGGGCAGGGTGGGGGCAACGCTAAATCAAAATCAGCACGACTGGAGCCGTTGCTTGTCCCGATTCATTTTGTAGTGGGAAAGGAAGGCCGGTTGCAATCTTGGCGGAGCCTCTCTTAAAACACTTAAAAACCTGGACAACAAGGGCCTTTGGATTATTGTGCTTAGGGCCCAAGGTGTACCTGTGGCTTAAAGTGGAGGAAAGATGGCTGACAGGAATGGTGAGCCCAAGGCAAGCAAATGCAATGCCTGGCCCCTCCTAGGGGTGTGTGGGCCATTCATAATTAAGCGTATAACCCCCCCACCCTCCGGAGGGGGAGGACGTTGATAGCACCAGAAAGCGCAGCATCATCACTCCTGAGAAATTGGACTTCCAGTTCTCTCCTCCTAGCTCTAGCTTGATTCACATGAATTGATGAATGGAAGGTTGCTTTGGGGCATGCCAGTTCTCTTAACGCTGCGTGAGAAATCTTGGTGAAAAGGAGCGCCTTCTTCGCGCATAGAAGTGTCACCCCTTCCAGTACGATGTCAAACTTGGCCAGGTGTTTTCTGGTCTTTTTTTTTTCCCCTTCTTCCAGTTCACAACCCCATCCCACTGGATGCCAACTTTCCAACGGGAGGGTTGTTCCCTCTGTTCTCCTACTCCAGAGGTTTTCCCCTGCGGGATAGTCCCCAGGAGGAAAATGGGAGAAAGGGCTTCCTTCTCTCTGCCGAGAGCTTAGCGGTTCTGACCTTCTCGGAGTTTGTGACGACAGCTCAGGTTGGCGTAACCGGCACCTCTACGGAGCTGTTTTCTTCCAGCCTTCTTTGGAAACAAACTGAAATCTCAATTGTCCTTTGATGGCAGTCCCAGTAGTTCCAAGAATCCCACATTGCGGTTCTAAAGATGGCTAGCCATTGCTGGGCGTTGTCTCCAAGCAACCCAGGGCCTTGGGTTTCAGGTATGGCGCAGCAGTTCAATGCTGAAGGGTTACCGACTGCTCTTCCACCCCTCAAGGATTGTGGGAGCATTCAAGCCCCCGCAGTAATAATCCTACTGCAGAGGTGCCTGTAAGTATGCGGCTGAGGAGACTTCAGTGTTGTGGTCTGTTCAGATCTCGCACGGGTGTGTGTATGGATGCCTGCCTTGAAATGTTCAATTGTGGCCTCTCCCCTCGGTGAAAGGCGAAATTCTAGTCTGATCATCGGTTGGTGAAAACTTCCAAGTTACAGGTGTGCAGCATATTTGTTTTATTTGTTTTTTCCCCACTTTTCAAACTTTACACCGGTGTCCCTCGATGTTTTCCCAGCCCGCCAAATTAAGGTGATATTCATTGCTAAAATCTTTGGACACAATGGGTGCCGGTCGTTTCGTGGAAAAAACCCAACAACATTCACCAGACGGCAGACCAGAATAATCTGTTTGAAGAACCCACACAGTTCAGATTATTTCTCACAAAAATTAAAAATTCAGCATTTCTTAGGGCAGGGTGCAATTTGTTGCTTTTAAGGTCTTTATTATGCTCCAGTCTGGATAGATACTTCAGCCAAGGGTATTTTATTTATGGCACCTAACTGCCCATCTTCTAACCAACTCTGGGCAACTCCCAATCAGAGTGGTAGCCAGTGTCTCAAAGCCCCCCAAAACTTGTAGACCAGGGGTGTCAAACTCAGTGTCATTGAGGGCTGCATCAGGGTTGTCTTTGACCTCGGGGGGGGGGGGGGGGGGGGGGGGGGGGCAGGGGTGACATGGACAGGGTGGGCGTGGCCTGCTCAACGTCCCCCATCAAGGCTCCGTTTTCAGCCACAATGGCCTCCTGCAGCAGCCCTCTGCCAGCAAAACCGAGATCGGAGACACCACACACGGCCCACCCGGGGTCCGTTTTCACTGGCAGAGAGTTTCAGGAGGCCATTGCGGCCCCAAACGGAGCCTGGGGGGACCACGTGTGGCTCTCCTGAGCTCTCTTTTTGCTGGCAGAGGCGCCATGGGCTGGTCCTTCGCTGTTTCCAGTGTGGGCCCCTGGGCCAGATCTAAGTACCCCATAGGCCAGATTTGGGCCCCGAGCCTTGAGTTTGACACCCCTGTTCTAGAAGGTGTATATCGTATTCTTATATATCTTCTCGCTTTCCCTACTTTGAACTCCTTTGTGGTTTGTAGTCATCGTGTCTGCATTTTCAGATTGCAGCATCCCTGTGGTCACAAGGATTGCAGCTTGCCACTTATCCCCTGCTGGCTTCTCCGAAAAGGAGGGTCAACGGAGAAGCCGGCTGGTGATCCCAAATGGGGACCCCATGAGGTCACCCCTAATGGCTGGAGGAGATTGGCTTAAGCGATGGAACGTCTGCAACGGTTGCAACACGTTGCTTTAGGAACACACGCACAGTTGTGAGGTGCCAGTTACTGTCACTACACAAAGGGCTACCTGTAAATGCGTTATGACTTATGACCACAACGGAGCCCAACATTTCTGACTGCTAAGCGAGGCACTTAAGTGAGTTTTGCCCCCTTTCACAATCTTCCTTGCCAAAACTGGTAAGTGAATCCCCGGATTGGTTAAGTTAGTAACGAGTGCTTTTTTTTTTTTTCAAGAGGCAACTTGGGCTTCCTTGTTTTTTTTTTTGAAGACTTTTCGCTTCTCATCCAAGAAGCTTCTTCAGCTCTGTAACGTGGTTGTTAAGTGAGTCGGGCTTCCTCCTTGACTTCAATTAGCAGACTGTCACAAAAGGGGATCACTTGACCCCAGGACACTGCAACTGTAGTAGCACTTACACACCACTTCACGGTGCTTTACAGCCCCTCCCTCTCTAAGGGGTTCACGGAGTCATAAATATGAGTCAGTTGCCAAGCACCTGAATTCTGATCACCTGACCACAGGATGCTGCAATGTTGAAGTGCGAAAAACGATCCTATGTCACTTTTTTTCCGTGCTGTTGTAACTTTTGAACGGTTCGCTAAACGAACTGAACGGAATTTTGATGCCCAGTAGATTAGAAAGGAGAATAAGACATAAAATAAGTTTTAAATGTTTTCATGATCGAACAACAATCTCATTAGGGCATCCTGGGTGCACACCAGGCTTCTTCCTTGAGGCAGGAGAGACATCTGTTAAATCAGGCTGGCAGTATGAACTAGAAGGGGGTGGGGGGGAAGGAAATTTCTCCCTGTGGGTTCTTCCCACTGTGTTCCAACCTCGAGGCGGCATCAGCCGGCCGATTCAATCGGGCAGGACAATGTCAAGGGCTCCGGTGCCGCCACCCATGTGCTGCCCACCCGTAATGCCGAGTTGCGGCTGCTTAGCCAACGGAGGAGTGTTCCCGGGCTTTTTCTAATAAGGCAGAGGCTCCACATATGGTTGCTGACGACTGTTCTAAATCCCCCTTGTTTTCTTGGCTTTTTCCCTTGGTCTATGTACCGTCTGGAATCTCATTTGTAGTTGGTGAGGTAACATACGTGGAGCTCTTAATGGACGCTGAAGGAAAGTCAAGGGTAAGTCTCTGAGAGCATTTCTTCCGTGGATTTTTAACTACATGACAAAATGTGTGTGATGGCGGCGTGGAAACCCCTCCCCTCCCCAACGAGGTTGGGCCAGGGGCAGCGTGTATGTGGTAGAGTGGTTCTCTCGTTGGCAGTGGGTTTGGGGGTGGGGGGGTGGGAGGGAAGGAGGGAGGGAGTGAGGTGGAAAGGGGTCTGCTTAGACCCAGCAGCACCCTTTGCCGTTGCTGCTGCTGCTACCGCCGCCGTGCTCCTTGGTGTTTGGCTGTGTCTGACTTAAGCATGGATCCTTACTGGCATTATCAATGTCCCACCTTTAGCTTAAATGTCTCCGTGTGGTTCTTGTGGCCGGCCTTTCGTAAGCTCGGTGTGGAAGCGAGGTTGTATCCATGTCAGAACTCTCTATGGCCGTCCGTGTCTTAAATGTTCAGACCGAACGTAGCTGTTGGTGGGGCCTCGTCAGCGCAGAGGGGAGGCTCTTGACGCACCTTCCCCAAAGGCCGCTGGTGGAGGAGAGAGAGAGAGAGAGAAAGAGAGGGAGAGAGAGAGAGAGAGCAGGTGTTGGCTGGCCTAGAGGCACGTCGGACTTCGCAGAGTCGAGGGGTTCCGAGAGAAACTGGCATCTGTCCTGCCAATCATGGCTTACTGCGTCCCCTCCCATCCCGTCCCCCCACTCCTGGCCATGTAGGCTTAGTGTCCGGCGCTCAGGCGAACAGCAGTTGTGCTGTTGTTCAAACGGCAGCCTGGACCTCGCGGGCATGATCCCAAAGCAGCACCCTCGGAAGTAATTTGAATATCCTAAGATCCAGTGGAAGAGAAGATAATCTGAAACGATTGTCCTGCGCTGAACTCTTGACTGACTTTTGTTTTTCTGTTCCCTTTGCCTTCCCAACCCTGTTTTTTGTTTGCATTTACCTGCCTGATTCTCCACTTCGGCATCGTCAGGGCTGCGCGTAAGTAGAAGTGCCTCCCTCCCACCCCTCTTTTTCCCCGAACTGGGGCTGGAACCGGGGGCCGGTTAGCCCTGGAGAGACTCACCCCTCCTCGCCTCGTGTCTTTCGGCCTGCAGGGTGGTTGAATTCAAGATGGAAGAGAGCATGAAAAAAGCCGTGGAGGTGCTGAACAAGCACAGCCTCAGTGGGAGACCCCTGAAGGTGAAGGAGGTAAGCTTGGAGCTAGGCCGCCCCAATGGGAGCAGCATCTGAGATCAAAACAATAGCCTGAAATTCAGGTAATCCTCGGACTTAACAACCAGAATGAATGCTAAAAGTGAGTTTGATCCTATTTTGCCACCGTCGTTAAGTAAATCCGGCCTCCCCCATCGACTCCTCTTGTCAGAAGGTCGCACAAGGGGATCACATGGTTGATCCCTGAATTACTGCAACCGTCATGTGAGTGAGTCAGCTGCCAAGCGTCAGAATGTAAATCACGTGACCACGGGGATGCTGCAACAGTTGTGTAAGGGTGAGAAATAGCCACAAGTCATCTTTTTTTCCCCTCCCCAGTGCTGTTGTAAGTTCAGATGGTCACTAATGGCTGTAAGTCGAGGAATACCTGTCTGTATTATTCTCTTTCCTGCAGAGGGAGATAATCTCATATTTTTGCGTTCAGAAATGCAAAGGTGATTTTGTTTTATTTTTATCATGTTTTGTGACGTGAAGAAGAAGAATGGATTTGCATTTAATTTTCTTGTTGGGTTAGAAAAAGCAGTTTTCCTTTCCTTTGCTCCCTCTGGAAGTCTGTAGCGATTCTCAGCCATCCAGGTCACGGTTGTCCCAAAGGTGTGCTTTTTCAGGAGGCCACTGGACTTGGTTTTTTTTCTTTTGAAGACATTTCGCTTCTCCTCTAAGAAGCTTCTTCAGTTCTGCCTGGAAGGGAATGGAAGGATTTTGGTAGGTCATTTGCTCGCTTTCTGAGGGTCCTTGAGGCCACCTGGAGGTTTGTCTGTGTCCTCAGGGTCACCTGAGTAGGAGCCAGGAGCACCACTCAGGTGCTCCTGAGGACAGAGACAAATCTGCAAGCGGCCTCAACGACTCTCTAAAAAGGATGCAAATGACCAGCTTTGTCTGCAAGGGGTATAAATCCTTCCCTTCCCCACCATCCAGTCAGAGCTGAAGAAGCTTCTTGGAGGAGAAACAAAACATCTTCAAAAGAAAAAACCAGAAAGTCCAGTTGCCTCCCGAAAAAAAAAAGCACCTTTGGGACAATTTTGCTCCCGCTGGAAAGCTAACGAGCGAAGCATCTCAACTTTTGGGGTGAAAAGGGGTGAAAGAAGACTCAGTGTCCTGTCCTTGTAGTTGGAAGCCTGTAGTTGGGTTCATTTTATGACTGCGTGAGTCGCCTAATAACCACACGATTTGCTTAAACGACCCTGGTGGAAAAATACTTGTAAGGTCGGGTCCGATCACGTGATGCCTTGCTTAGCAAATTCTGGTCGTGGTGGACATACTTCAAGGACTGCCAGCACAGGAGACCAGGATCTCCAAGAAGCATCCCCACTCGGAATCTTAAGTCACCTTCATTGCTTGATCAAACGATTTTAAGATTATAAAACGTTGGCAAATTTTTCTTGGTTGTTACTTGCACGTGTTGAATGGGAGGGGGCCTCCGAAGCAAACCTCGCAGGCTAAAGAATTGGTGGTGGTGGGCTTTCTGTATGCCCCCCCCCCCACTGTCTTGTTTTCCTCCCTGTTTTAGGATCCCGACGGCGAGCATGTTCGAAGAGCTGTGCAGAAGGCCATGGCGGCCTCTGGGAGCGGGATGGGCCTCAGCCCTGGCGCAGGCGGGCCTGGCATGATTAACATCCCGCCCAGCATTCTCAATAACCCCAATATCCCTAACGAGATCATCCATGCCCTGCAGGCCGGCCGCCTGGGCAGCACCGTTTTCGTGGCCAATGTAAGTCGCCCCCCTTCCTGGGGCTTTGTGTTCAGAATTTGGTCCTTGGATCCGGAAGGAAAATCGGGGTTGTTTTTTGTTTTTTTTTTCTTGGTCTCTGTGGCAGGGATGAAATTGGTCCCGTCTGTAGCAAAATAGTATACGTGGTCCTAAGCTATTGTTTAGTTTATTCACAGTTGTAAGGTATAAACCACGGTTTTACAGGCCGTTATTTGGGAGGGGCTGCATAACTCCTGCTTCTCTCTCTCTCTCTTATCTGGATCCCTGGAAATCTGGGTTCAGGCTCTGGTTTGCGTCAGGCTAAGCCCCAGGACGACATAAACTGATCCAGCCAAAGAGCATTTCTTCATTCGCTTATATGGCCTTAGACAGAATCTTGCCAGACTTAACACGCGGTTTGACCTGATCCGCGGTTTCCCCATGGACCACTTCAAGATGGATGGACTTTTAACTCCCAGAATTCCCCAGCCTGTCAGTCCGCCCATCTTAAAGTCACCCTAATGGGTGACTTTTGGCAGGGAGGGGAGGGCACATCCCATCCTTGGTGTTCGGTGCTGCTTAAATAAACCCGTGTCCCAGACAAAGCAGCTAATCCCCGTGGTGTGGCGTTCCTGAGGTGCGACCCAGGTTGGCCGCCGTCTTTTAAAAGATCCGGCGTTAACGTTTCACCGTTGCTCCTCGCTCGTCTCCTCCCGTCTCTTCAAGCTGGATTACAAGGTTGGCTGGAAGAAGCTGAAGGAAGTTTTTGGCATGGCCGGCGTGGTTGTCCGAGCAGACATCTTGGAAGACAAAGACGGGAAGAGCCGGGGGATCGGCACAGTCACCTTCGAGCAAGCCATCGAGGCTGTCCAGGCTATCTGTATCCTTGGTTTGGACCGGACTAAGGTTCGGGTGTCTTTGGGATAGAACGAATTGAGTGGGTCACCTGCAGAAGGGAGTTGGGTTCAGCCTTCCTGGAGAGGCTGGTTTGGAATTGCTGGCAACTGCCCCTAACCATCAGTTGATGGGTAAGTGGAGGTTGCAGGAGCCGACGCAAACACCTCTCAATCCTCCTGCCCGTTGTGGGGAGACCTGTGTCCCGATTGGTTCCAACTCCCTGCTGGAAGAGCCATAGCCCTTAGACTTATATACCACTTCCCAGTGCTTTACAGCCTTCTCTAAGTGGTTTACAGAGTCAGTGCCCCAAAATAATCTGGGTCCTCCTTTTACCAACCTTGGAAGGATAGAAGGCTGAGTCCGCGTTGAGCTGGTCAGAATCAAAACTGCTGGCAGTGAGTAGTGAGTTAGCCTGCAATACTGCCTTCTGAGAATATCCTCTGGCTGAATAATAACTCCGCGTTGGCGACAGGAAGGGCATCCGGCCAGTAAATGCTCAGCTCCATACAGTGCCTGCAAGGGGTTACGGGGTCCTTAAAAGAGGATGATGGCATGTCAGCAGGCTGTCACCAGCTGCATCTTCTGCCAAAACAAGAATTTTTCTCCTCTTGAACCGAAGCCCCCATGAGATCAGCTGCGATGCTTAAAAAAAAAAAGAAATGTTTTTCTCTCGCTCCCCGGTGCCTCTCTTGGGAGTGGATGAAAACATAACACGAAGGAGAGGTTCTCGCGGGCATTTCCTAGAAAGGGGAAGAGAATCTGAGGGGCACACAAAAGGTGTTGCGCTGCTGCTTTTGCGAGTCTCCGTCGGACCAACGTATGACCGGAAGGCCTTGACTCAACTCCTAGCTATGTTCAACGGGCAGCTGCTCTTTGACAGGCCGATGCACGTCAAGATGGTAAGCAAGGCAAGGTGGCCTACACCCCACCCCCTCCTGGTCTCTCCCTTCTCCACCCAACATTCAGCTTCTCTTTTAATGTTTCAGGACGAACGGGCTTTGCCAAAAGGGGATTTCTTCCCTCCGGAGCGGCCCCAGCAACTTCCTCGTAAGTCCTCAGAGCTGGCTAGGGAAGTGGCCCCTGGTGTTCTGACCCACCTCCCCAAACACGACAAACCCTCTGTAGTTGAAGCAATGATGCCTTTATTAGGAGTGCCAGCAGAAATTCTCTCTCTGTCCGGCAGGGAGATGAATAGTTGTCTGCCACATCTGTTCATCTCCGTCCCCTGCCTTTTATCCCCCAGAGCCAGGGTGGGGCTTCGCCAGCAGCAGTGCCTCTTCCATCCCAAGGACCGGCCCATAGATTTCCAC